TTAATTCTACCTTCAACTTTATCCACAAGATTTTTCCCATCGTTTTAATTTAATATCAGATAATAAAATTATATGATATTAGGAAATGCTAAAAGAGTGGCTCGTTTCGAAATTCTTTCCGGTTTTCACGGCGAATGTCACTGCCTAAAGGTGTCATCCTTCGGAGGTAACAGATATACAATTGCGTTACGTGGTACGTGCGTGTAATTGCGTTTTTACACAAATTAAGCGAGTCACCGACCGAGGCGGTGAACTTTGTGTCAAATCTTGTGTCAAAATCATCCGGCTTTCTTGTCGCACCGAATGTGACAAGTTTTATTTTCATTAACCGCGAGCGAGACGTTGTCTAAACTCATAAAAAACTACCTCGAAGCACGTGGTAAAGATGAGGGTCAAAGTGTCAATAAAGACTATCGACGTACGATGGCGTACGTTCGCGATATTACATGCTCGCGCTCCTCTTCTTTTTCTTGAAAAAAGAACGCTCGCAAATTTTATTTGCGGTGGATACTTTACGAAGGACGTCGTATGCGCGCAAGATTGCATTTGTCAGCACAAAGGGGAGTAATAGGATGACAACGAGGAATTAATTAATTAAGAGTGGCGAGAGAGAGAGAGATGCAATCTAATGCTCACAGAACTCCCATTGGTAGTGAGATAATACGGAAGATTGTCGCGACGAAAGTTTATTAAAAGAATTAAGATTAAAATTATACTACAAATTTTTAAATTGCGAAATGCAAAATGTTTATTCACAAATCTTTCTCAAAAATTATGAAGCACCTCTTTTGATTATAGAGACCTATTCTTTTCTCCTTCTTTTTTTTTTTTTTTTCTCCTGAAATCAAGCTACTTATTTATTTTGTAAAATAAATTTATTTGATTGGCAAATCAGATTAAATTATCAAAATGAATTATTATTCCCAGATATCCATATTTTTCTGTATCCTCAATTTTATGCCGAAAAAAAAACGAGTTGCAATTTATTTTATCATGAATAAAAAGAGTGACGGAATCAGGCGAGATTAAAATGTTTAACGCAAAAATAATAAAGTTTTATTCAGCTGTCTGAATTTTTTTATTCTGCTTATTTTTAGACGAAGAAAAACATAATTATACACAAAATATGTAATCGTGTAAAAGCTAAGAATTCTATTGAATAGAACGAAAATTCGGAGCTCCAATCTGCGAGATCGAACCCGCCGCTAATGTGTTAAAGTATCGATAAAGGCTGCGTCAATATTACCGCGTTCGTGCGTGCACGCTATTACTCTCCTTCGTTACTAAAACTTGCCTAGAATAATAAACACGCGATTTCTAAAAGTAATATTTTCAAATACTTCCGGAACAATGGCGATAAATGAAACTCTGTTTTGTCCGTGCTCCTCTGACGCACTATTTTTATTTACTTCGTTTAATTGTACAATCAAGATATCGTCCGGATACCTTCCGGATATACCGGGGTATATCCGGAAGTTGAAAGATAATTAAAATTTGTAATATTTTTTTCCTCCGCTTTCAATCAAGATACCGGACGGTATCTTGATTGAAAGCGCAGGAAAACATATTACAATTTTTTTCTGCAAAGTGTCGATTACACATTCCGTGTTACTTGACATTTTCTGATACGCTATTTTGTCGCGTAATGAGATATAAATAAAACGTGGTTATCTTAGAGTATGGCATAATCGTCGTGGGCGAGGATAGTTAAAAAGGCCATCCACGGCACGTGTAGAATTACGAGGAGATTCCTCGTAGTCTTCTGTTTCTTCCGAATCTTTCCTTTAAATCAAGGTAAAGCATATTTTATCTCAGTTTTATGTCGGTGATAGACGCTTGTTAGGATTTGATTCTAGCTCTTGCATATTTTAGATGAGATTTGCATCGCGCCACGTTTTGAGAAAATAAAAAATGAAAGGTAGAGAGAGGTGTGTACACACCACGTTACCGGGGTTGTTGAAATATATATTGTCACATGTAAACTGCGGTTAATTGACGTTTCCCGCTAGTTTCGTTTGCGGCCTACGCGTATTTTATTTCACCCTATTCGAATTACAATGCGGATGTTTGTTTTTTTTTGTTTTTTTTTTTGTTTTTTTTTTTTTTTTTTTCTAGATTTATTCTGTTGCTTTAAAAATTCTTTTCAAATTTTCAATTTTTACTTCTGTTGAAAATTATATGATATTACTTTTCAGTGAAATTAGAAAAGTTAAAAAGTTTGTTAAAATTGTTATGCGTATACGTTTAATAATAGATATAGAATAATTGACAATATAATATAGTTAGATTGAGACTTGCATTTTTATTTGCGTTTTTATTTGCGTTTTTATTTGCAATAAAGGCAATATTTATGCAAAGCACATTTCTGATTTCTAAAATGCGTCGGAAGGGAAGAGAGAGAGAGAGAGAGAGACACTTAAAGTATAATAAAGCTCACATGTAAAGTGCATCAGATAGCGGCGTAAATTGAGGGTAAAAAGAATATAATATGGTGGTTGAGGCAATATACCATCCAGAGTAATCTTACATCACATCACGTGCCACAGTTGCGCCGCGAATAATTTCGCTCGTCATCTGGATATTTTGCACGAAATATATTGCGGTCCGTGAAAACTTGTAACGAGATTGCTGCGCCATAACTACTTTATATTTCAGATTTATCGGGACCTTCTAAACTTTTCTCAACGGTATACAAATATTAATAATGTATTCGTTACGATTTCGCCTCGTTCGGAGTACGCTCGAAGTAATGTCATTCGACAAAGTCGATTCTATAAATTTAACATTGGAAACAGCTGATGCAACCTCGTATGTACTTAATTTTGCATTTGTCTTTCTTTGTATTGGTCTCAGGAAAAAAGAATCGAAGTTAAAAAAGACGAAACGAAATTAAATTATTAAATTGTCACACTCAAACTTCATCTCGACGGTTAAAATATTTATTTGTAAATGAAAATGACATTTCCATCATAATTACGTTTATTTGCCAAAAAGTAATATTTTACAAATTCGAGAAGAATAAGCAATTATTTCTATTTCATAATAACATATTTATAGAATATTATTATATCATATTATTACATTTTGGATTGTGTAAAACGTTATTTCAATTAAAATTACATCAAATATAATTCTTAATATATATATATATATATATATATATACGTAGTTTCTTCGTTTAAATTTAAAACAAACATCTTGCGTGTGTAGGAAGTCATTACTAATTTAACTCATCAAATTTCAATTACCGACAGCGAGTTCGCCGTTTCTATTCAAGATATGTACCGTCGTTAGTTAAAACGTAATAATAATT